AATTCCTCGTACCAGTGTTGATGTATGTTTGATCTTAAGGTAAGATGTGTTGAGGCGCAGATTCAGTGCGTTTTATTAAAATAGTGACCCTTGGCCTTACTCGACTGTCACGGTAAGCCACAAGTCTAGGTGGACCTCGTTGTTTCTCTGTGGGTCCCTTTGCCCGGGTCTCTCCAAGTGAGCTCTTCTTTCTCAGGCACAGAGCACAAAGGAGAGGGAAAGACTGCTTAATCCAGATCGCTGGTCTCCGTGGGGGCAATCGAGGCCGTGGCCATGACTTCACCCAGCGGGAGCAGAGGCAACTGGCTGCCTTTCAGACAGAACACAGACTCAGTGGGAAAATGAGCTTCCCACATGCGAAGTTTTGGTCTCGTACGACATGGTTTCTCTACTTCAGTTCTCTGGACATTTGGGGCCAGTAATCCTTTGTTGTGGGGTGGGGGGGATTTTACTATGCATTGCAGGATTGTCGGATGCATTAGCACCCCTGGCCTTAACCCGCTAGGTTCCAGTAACACCCCCAGTCCCCCGTGCGACAACCAAAAATATCTCCAGACATTGCCAGATGTCTCCTGGGGGGCCAAAATTGCCCCTGGTTGGGAACCGCTAGCATATGAGAGATAACAAGGATTTCATCAGCTTTTTATTGGCTTGTTTCTGATTTAAATATTCTGTGTCTAATTGTACCTCGAACTGAACAAGTCACTCTTTTTTTTTTTTTTAACGTTTATTTATTTTTGAGACAGAGAGAGACAGAGCATGAACGGGGGAGGGGCAGAGAGAGAGGGAGACACAGAATCTGAAACAGGCTCCAGGCTCTGAGCTGTCAGCCCAGAGCCCGACGCGGGGCTCGAACACACGGACCGCGAGATCATGACCTGAGCCGAAGTCGGCCGCTTAACCGACCAAGCCACCCAGGCGCCCCAAGTCACTGTTCTTAAAGCTTCCGTTTTCTCATCTGTAAAATGATTGGGTTGGACATAGTGATCTTAGAGAACCTTCTAGACCTGACAGTGGAGGGTTTTGAAGGCAGGAGGCCCCTGTGGGGTCTCTGTGTTTGTATCCTGTCCCAGCAAGGATAAACCTCTTGCCAGCCTAGCTCCAGTCACTACTGCCATTGTCCTGGCACTTGGCATTGGATCAGTCTTCCTTAAGTCCAACTGATGGCTCGCTTACTTTAATTTAAGTCCACTCTGCCCCCACCCCGCTTTGAAGTGAAGATTTCTCAATATCCAGTACAAGGAACCCCTGAGGACTCAGCTTCTCCACTGTCCATTTCAGCCTAATCTTGTTTTTAAGAGCAGCCAGTGGATCTTATCTTTGTGCAGATTCATTCATTGACTCATTCATTCAGGTCAGTTCTCCAGGGGCCTGGATTGGGCAGGGCTGGGCAACAAGGGAGCCCAGGTCCTGCCTCAAGAAAATCATACTCTGGTGGGAGGGCAGGAAAAGAGCATTTTTTTGCTTGACAGTGATGAAGAATCCATAGTTAAGCTTTCTCTGTTTGAGGCTAATCAATTCCAATTCTTTAACCTTTTTTCCTAAGCATTTTCCACTGACATGGTCTCAGTTTGGGCCCCACATGGTTGGAAAAAAAAAACAGCAAGAATGTAAATTAGGCCTGGATTCAGAGTCCTGCTGTGGCACTTCACAGGTGTGTGAGCTTAGCCAAACCACCAGCCTCTGTGAGCCTCATCTGTAAAATGGGCTAAAAAATCCCTAACTTGAAGGCTGGTCAAGAGAATTAAATGAGAACATGCCAGCCAAAGGCATAGCATGAGCTGAGCCCACACTAGATATGCACTAGGCACCCCTTCCCCCTCTTCCACACTCTCTACCCTTTCCTCCATATTCTCTTGACAGTGGGTGGCCACAGCTAATCGCATCACCACATCACCGCAGGGAGGGACTGACTAATGTAAACCAGAGAGGACGACGGCTCACTTCCCTGTCTGTCACATGCCTGGGTTCTCACCAGTCTTCCTGTGGCCCATTTCTTAGTGACATTCACTGCTGACTCACTTGGCTTGTGGTCAGCTCTGAACCCAGGGTCTTTTTCAGCTCTCCCTTTACCCCACCACCACTCCACAGCTTGGACTGATGGCATGGGAATGGGATAATCATTAGAGAACATTCTGTTTAGGTGGCCCTTCTCAAGGAGTCAAAAGCATTACTAGATTGGCACCTCCGTGAGGGCAGGGGCCATGCCTACCTTGACCGCTTCCATTTTCCCATATCTAGAGTGCTGCCAGTAAGTACTTAGTAAATATCTGTTGAGTGAATTAATGTATTTTGAGCTGGTCCCTGTCTTTTAGGAGATTCTCACCTGCTCTGGGCAGCATCTGTGGAAAAGTAAGCAAAACTCTGAGACTAATTTACCAGTAAGTGACCTCTATACTGATTCCCACAAGTATAGGGCAGTGGAAGGGCCATGGCCTATGACTCAGACTTGGGTTTGAATCCCAGCTCTACTAGTCACGGGCTTGGTGACTTTGAGCAAGTTGCTTATAGCTTAGCCTTGGTTTTCTCTCTGAAAAATTGGGATATCAGTGTCTGCCAGGGTTATTGTAAGAATTACATGTAAATATGTATATGTAAAAGTGCCCAGGCTGGCAGTGATCTTGGTTTCACATCAGTGACTCTAGAGCACCTCTTTCCTTTGGTCACTATTGCTTCCTATAGTTTGGTCCAAGTCTACCCTCCTCTCTTAGACCTTTGTTCATTCAACCCTCCCCTCGCCATTCTCACTCCCAACAAAGATGTATTCTTGACACCCAGCACACTCAGTAAACATTTGTTAAGCCAGCACCTCAAAATCAGAAGCCTAGAGGGACCAGGTATGTATGAAGAAAGCAGGCTGTGTGGGATTTTTATGTGAAATCTCCCCCTTACAATTTTTTTTTTTATAATTCTATTAAATTTTAAAGAGCCTTTTTAACTTTTTATCTTGCCATAATTTCTGGCTTACAAAAAATTTTGCAAAACTAATGCAAAGACTTCCCATAAGCCCTTTACTGAAACTTCCCTAAATATTACCATGTTACATAACCAAAATACCATTATCAAAACCAGGAAAATAACACTATACCGTAGTATTAACTAATACATGGCTCTTATTCAAATCCTAACCATTGTCCCCCTGATGTCCTTTTTCTCGTCTGGGACATCCTGCATGGTTCAGTTGTCATGTCTCTTTAGTCTCCTCCAATCTCTGAAAGTTCTTTAGCCTTTTACTTGTTTGAATGACCTTGATACCTTTGACAAGTACTGGCCAGTCATTTTATAGCATGAACCCGCCGGTTGGATTTGTGTGTTGCTTTCTCATGATTCATTTGAGGTTGTGCATTTTGAGCAAGTTTCCCACACGAGTGTAATGGTGTGCCTTCCCCAATATCTCAGACCAGGAGGCACATGATATGTCTCCTTACTGGTGACACTCACTTTGGTCACTTGGTCAAGATGATGTCAAGTTTCTCAACTATAACGTTACACTTTTTCCCTTTGTAATTAGTAAGGATTTTGTGGGGTGGTATTTGAAGGTATGTAAATATCCTGTTTCTCATCAAATGTTTGGTTCATTCATTTCTTTTTTTTAAATATAATTTATTGTCAAGTTGGCTTCCATACAACACCCAGTGCTCATCCCAACAAGTGCCCTCCTCAATGCCCATCCCCCACTTTCCCCTCTCCCCCACCCCCCATCCACCCTCAGTTCTCTGTATTTAAGAGTCTCCTGTGGTTTGCCTTCCTCCCTCTCTGTAACTATTTTTCCCTCTTCCCCTCCCCCATGGTCTTCTGTTAAGTTTCTCAAGATCCACATAAGGAGTGAAAACATATGGTATCTGTCCTTCTCTGACTGACTTATCTCACTTAGCATAACACCCTCCAGTTCCATCCACGTCGCTGCAAACGGCATGACAAATACAGAAGCTTCACGAATTTGCGTGTCGTTCTCGCGGGGAGCCGTGCTGATCTCTGTACCGTTCCAGTTTTAGTACGTGTGCTGCCGGAGCGAGCACTATTCATTTCTTTATATAGATCCGTGGCTTCCTATTTTATCCAATGGGTTATAACCTATTACTGTGATTTTTGACTTTAGTGCTCACATCGTCCTTTCTTTGGCCAGTGACCCCACCATTCTTTGAACACTGTCTTGCTTTCTGACATAAGAAGGTGTTCCAAGTTCATCTTGGATTTTCCTCACGTAGCCCTGGGATCAGCCATTTCTGCAAGTAGAGAGGGAGATTTAGAAGCCAACATTTGAGTACCTGATGTGCCGTTTGCTATCTGGCTGTCACGGTTCCCGGACCCTCCCTGTGGAATGAGCCAGGAAATGTATGTGAATAGGATGTGTATTTCTGTATTGGTGGATGTTGAAAATCATGAATCCACAGTGAAACCTCCATTTCCACTCGAGCAGCACAGAGTTTATTCTACTTTTCCCTCCATATAGACCTCCCTTTCCCAACAGTGAGCCCCAGGCGTCCATTATCCTCACTGTATTTACATATTTGATTAGTGTCACCCACCCCCATGTGTCAATCTCCCCTCTCTGGCCTCTTCACCCTTATCAGATTCTGACATTCTGCCCTCAGCTACCCCCACCTCCTCACCCCGAGTGACCTCTGACTTCCCATAAAACTCCCAGTTTTGAAGTGGTGGTTGATAAAGTTTTTAAACTGTGAGGCCCAGTTTCTGCCTGTGGGCCCTGGATGGCGACCTGGTATTAACTGGACAGGGAAGGTGGATTTTAAGCCCCTCCCACCTCTCTGGTGCCTGTCATCCCATGCCATCCCAGTGCCTCGTGCAAGGGGACTCTGCGCTCTGGCACGCCAGGTTCGGTCATCATCCCATCCCAGCGTCACGGGCAGGTGAACTAACTCCACACTCCAGCACGCCAGGTCTGGTTGTCTTTCTTGGCCCCTGTTTTTGCTGTTCTCACTACGTGGACTGCTTTATGCCTCTTCCTGCTCAGACTCCCATCCTCCTGCTCTGTTCAGACATCACCTGCTGCCGGAAGCTTCATGGACCACCCCATGGACCACTTTCTGGGTCCCCCTAGCACCTTCAGCAAGCCTTATGAAGGAACACCATTGTACCCTCCTTCCATTTCCTTCTTTGTCTTTATTGCTAAACTGTAGGCACACAAGGCCAAGGGCTGAGTCTTATACCTGTGTCCTAGTGCCTAAGAGAGGACTTAGCATGTAGTAGGTGCTCATAGATGTTAGTCAGCCGAACATTAACAATAGTAACGGAAAAAAAAAAAAAAAAAAGAATAGTACCTGCAAATAAATATTCATATAGTACTTCCTGGGTGCCAGGCACAGTTCTAAGTGCTTTCTATGCACTAAGTCACTTGGCCTTAACCGCTATGCTACGAGATAGTATCGTTGCCCCATTTTACAGCCAGGGGAACTGAGGCTCAGAGAGGTTACGTAAGTGACATGCCCAAGGTTGAACAGTGGTGGAGTCACGTTTGAGCCCACTTGGGCTGATTCCACAGTACACACATGCCTCTTACCTCTTACATGCCCCTCGTGGTTAAAGGGGTCAGCATTTTCCGAATAAGGGAGATGAGTAGGTATGGAGAACTGAGTCACGTGGACCCCTCCCGCTCAACCACACCCCCAGCCCCAGTTTCTAGTGCCCCTTAAGGGCCCAAGAACGGAAGACTGGTAGCTGAGCAGGCCGGAGAGAAAGTGTTACCTTTTAACTTGGCAGCCCACAGGAATATCTTCTCCCCTGACGTGTTAGGAAACCCAGCACGTTTCACGTGCAGTTAGGACGAGCTCACGGTAGTCAAGCATCAGATCTTACGCAAGATTTCCAAGTCATTGCGTTGAGGTTAGCAGGGTGCTAACAGCTTTTCCCAATCACCAAAGGGGAACCACATGCCAACTGGTAGCCCCCGAGGGCTGGAGCAGCCGGCCTCTTCACCATGCCAAGTCCTGCCCGGGAGCCTAGGAACACTGCGGGGATAGAACTCTGCTTTGTGAGAACTGCCTGCTCAGGTTCAAGTGACAGGAAGGAAGCCAAGTGTGTGAGGCGCCTCCTCTGTGAATGCTGTGTAAATCCACCACAGACATTTATTTCCGTTACTCCTCTCGATGGCCTGGGAGGACCTGGTAACAGTAGCCACAAACAAGGAAGACCAGCCCAAAAGATTTGAACCCAGGGTGGTCTGATTCCAGGATCCTCACTCTTAAATAGCTGGCCAGAATCTGCTGTGTCTGTCTGACTCCCAGATCCCAGATTCTTCCGCCGCACCCCACAACCCTCATTTGCTGTGGTGGGACCCATATGAAAGAAAGGCATCAAGGCATCTGCTCTGCGTGTGGGCAGGAGACCCCCATTAGACACGAGCCAGAGCCGTCGCAAGCTAACGCTGAGACTGGGCTCCAGGCAGGATTTTGTTAACTTCACGCCTTGGAGTTAGGAAGGAACTCCACAGGCAAGCTGCGGGAGCTGGGGAAGGGGGGGAGTGGAGACGGGAGGGGGAGGGGGAGGCAGGAAAGGGAAGAGGGGGAGGAGAGGTGACACCGGGCGAGAACGCAGTGCCGTCATGGAACTCAGGAAAGACGGTGCATTTCCCTATTTCCTTCATCATTAGAAAAACCCAAGACGCGGGTTCAGTTCATTCCACAAGGGCTTGCTGAGTGTCTTCTACGCACCAGGCCTGTGCTAGGGTCTGGGGACGTGGGCGGAGGACAAAACCCAACAAGGTCGCTGCCCTTGTGGAAGTTCCGTTCTGATGGGGGGGAGGACCAACCCAGAAACGTAACCGAATGAGGGTCCTGCCTGGTGGCTCTAAGTGTTGTGAGGAAACGCTACCAGGGGATGGGGCAGGGTCCCATCGGAGAGGGCTTTCCTTCAGGCCTCCTGAGGGAGGTGACCTGAAGGAGTAGGAGGACCTGGTTCCAGGAACAACTGTGGCTTGCTGCCCACATGGCAAGCAAGCTGAAACCATCTTCCCTGCTGCCCTGAGACCCACCCCTTGCGCCCACCTCACCCCTGTCCGCTTTGCTCTCTGCAGGTTTGACATCTACAGGAAGGTGCCCAAGGACCTTACGCAGCCAACATACACCGGGGCCATTAGTGAGTAGCCATCCTTCTTGCCGTTGTCCTCACCCCCTCCCCATCTCCTGTACCCGGGCCTGCTCTCCCTGTGCAGAACTGCTGAACCAGGGAGAAAAGAAGGAGAGACGGGAGGAGAGGACAAAGGATGGGCATCTTGCGAGCCCTTCATATAGCTCCTCGTCTCATCTCTGTTCTCACCAGAACCCTGCAAGGCATCGGCATTATCTGTTTCTGGGAGGATACACCCGAAATCATCAGTAGCCATTGCCCCTGGGAGGGGAGACTGGGGCTCAAGGGGTCAGGAGGGCTTTTCTTCCCTTTTAGACTGCTGGAGTTTTTGACATAAGCACATTTTTAATCATTAAAAAAAAAGAAGAAGAAGAAGAATTGCACCAGATTTTGGTTTCTAAATGCCAGTGTTCAGTAAAAGGACCCAAAGTCTCCTTAAAGAAAGGGCTGGTTCCAGGGCCGGGGCAGGAAGAGAGCAGAATAAGCTTGGATCATCTTGGGCCAAAAAGCAAAGAAGCTCCCGGAGGGGGGAAAAAAGGGCTAGGGGTGCATCAGCAGGACACAGGAGCAACATGAAAGAGGCCAAAGGCTAACACAGGGGTAGTCGGAGTAACAGGTCATGGCATGATTGTCTGATGTGCCAAAGAATTACAAAAAAGGAGTGTGAGAGTGTACTGATGTAAATCAATGGGAGAGAAGGGATGGCTCTTCCTTAACAGAAGAATTCCAAGTAATACAGTAATGTAGATGGATAAATACCCCCTCCAGGAGGTAAAGCCTAATTCTCTTCTCCTGGAGTATGGGCTGGACTCAGTGATGCAGAGAATGGAAAGAGCAGAGAGTGGAAGGGAAATCGTAACTTTCCTATGTAGCTGCCCAGAGACAACCAAGTGATGAAGGTTGACATCAGCCAGTGAGACGTCCTGTGGACGTCACGCACCCCCGATGGGACGTGATGGGAAGGACACCTCCCCTCCAAACATTCTTCCCCAAACAGCCCAAGCCTGCCCAATCATGAGAAAGCATCATCGGGGCCCAGGTTGGGCGACATTCTACGCAACTCCTGCCAGTACGCTTCAAAAGCGACAAGGTCTCGAAAACCTTGGGAAGAAGGGGGAACTGTCAACAGATTCAAGACTAAGGACACAGGATGACTACATGCAAAGTGAGATCCCAGGTTGGGTCCAGGAACAGGAAAAAGGGGGTTTGTGGGGAAACTGGCGAAACCTGTAGTCCTGTCTGTAGCTTAGTTTTGGTGCTGTATGGTGTTACTTCGTTTTGACGTGCATACCGTGGTTATGTAAGACGTTAACGTGAGGAGAAGCCGGATGAAGGGCGCATGGGAACTCTCTGTACTGTCTCTGCATCTATTACTCCACAATGAGAAGTTTATTAAAACCAAAACAAACCCAAAAGCGCCATGCGTGCAGGAAAACCTCATAGCCTCATTTTCCAGAGGAGAAAATGGGCCCAGAGAGGTGAAGTGACTTGTCTCAAGTTTCACATCTCTCGAAAGGTAGGCTTCCCTGCACCCCATGGCCTGACCCCCTGCCGGCCTCTCCAGTGCTTCCTGCGGGAGAGGGACCCTCCCTGTGGGCTGTCCCCTGAGCAGGGCCCTGGGGCTGGGCAATCAAATTGGAATCCACTGCTGCCTCCCAAGGTGGGTCATAGGAGCATGGCCTTGGGGTTCCCCCACCCCCGCCCCAGCTGCTCCTGCCCGGCCCTTACTCATTGAAGCCGTGGGTGCCTTCTCCAGCCCTGGGTCTCCACATCCCTGGGGAAGGGAATGCAGCAGCCAGGACACAGGATGCATGTCCTGCAGGCTTCCCATGTGGCAGAGCTGGGTTCATTCTCCCATCTATTAGCTGCGGGACCTTGGGGAAGTCACTTCTCACTTCACCTCTCTGATCCTCAGTTTCCTGATATGGGGAATAAATGAGTTCAGACCCGTCAAGTGTAGGGTATGTGCTAAGCTCTCAGTGCCTGGACTACACTCCTCTGGTCACTGACCTCCAGGAGCCCCCAGCCTGTGAGGGTCCATGCCAGCAGACGCTCTGATGCCTTGTGCCTGAGTCCCCACGGAGAGGATACCCAAGGCCCATGAGAGGAGAGGGGGTTCGACTTGTTTCTGAGCCTGATCACAAAAATTCAAGTAAGGTGTCCTGTCCCCTTCCTGCCACCAACCGATAGTCCAGACCTCTGCCTCACAGTCTCTGCAGTCTCACCCTTGTTAATGGATGTGTAACAATCAGGTCTGGGTCCTCCTAGAATTTTTAAAAAGCACATTCAGGCTTTGATAAACCTATATCGTTGTTTTAAGCAGAGACGGGAACCTACTGTGTGGACCTCTCTTCCTGGCCCTTTTTTCAACCGCCGTAGGCTGGACACCTTTCCTACCAGCACGTACACAGCCCGCTGCATTCTTCCCTGCAGCCGCGTCTGGCAACCCACGGTCGCCATCATCTGCGCGACCCACAGTTTACGTAACCAGTCTCCTGGGAGTGGACAGTCTCGATTCCGATTTATGGCTGTTGCAGACATCCTTGTCCATATATTTTTATATCCTTGTATGGTTATTTCTGTAAGGTAACTTTTCCTAGAAGAGGAATTACTGGGTCAAAGGGCATGTGTGTTGTAAAATTTAGAAGGTACTGCCAGATGGCCCTCTAGGGACGTGGTCTGATTTGCGGTCCCGGCCACAGTGTGCAAGACGGCAAATTCCTTTACACGAGAGGAAAAAGGCGTGAGGCATGGGAAACCAGCCCTTAGCTACCATGTAGTGAACAAATATTTATTAACTAGGTCCCGGGGCCAGGTCCCGTACCAAGTACCGGGATCATGTTGATGAATGGGCTCCCGTCTTTGTCCTTAAGGAGCACGTGGCCTACCAGGGCAGCAGACACGAAGCCACACCATTTCATGACATCTTGATAAGCGCTATTAATAACTGCAGGAACAGGGAAGGGCCCTGGACACTCACGGATCAGGGTTTGAATTTTGCCTCCTTCACTGAAGTGGCCATTTGGCCTTGAACAAATTCCTTGACTTCCCAGAGTCTTGGGTCTCGGGTCTTGGGTCCAGTGCCCCCCTTTGCTGGCTGCACCAGGTTTCCCAGTCACACACATTCTCTAGGGGTCACATTCCTATGGTCCACTGCCTGAGTCAGTTTCAAAAGAAGTGTGGTGTCAGAGAGCCTTAGCTTCTTGCCCAAACATGGATTGAAAACCCTCATCAAGCCTTCAGTATCACAACGGCCTTTCTGGTTGAAATACTTCATACCTGCCTTCATACCTCGTGTTTTTCATTCATTCATTCATTCATTCATTCATTCAACAAGTATTTTTTTCTGTACCTTCTCTGAGCCAGGCTAGACCCTGTGACCATAGTGGTACTGAGACATTGTCCACCTAGTATGGGACGATGGTAGGGGGAGCAGTCACAGAGGGTATATGATCAGGGCTGTTGGACACTTGGGTTTCAGCTGAGTAGACTTGGCATTTATCGTGTCCACCTGCTGGGTTGACCAGGCTTCATCCAGACCTTGAACAGAGCACACAGATTTCAGAAGGAAGCCTTCCATCCCTGTCCCCCACCCCACCCCACCCCCAATCTGGACAGAGTTAGAGTGTTGGGGCCCTTTTACAGGCTTAGGGCAAGGAAGGCAGTTAGAAGGCCTGGATTTGTCTAAGTCAGCATTGACCTTCAGAAATGCCTCCCTACTTTGTGCCTGTCCATGACAGCATGCGATGGGTTGCTGGGGCTTGAGAGAGGTGTGAGAGGGATGAAAATGACTCTGAAACATGGGTCCTATGTGATACTGTTTAGGAAGATTCCAGGTGAAGGGTGTTCTGCCTGGTCGTGGAATTCTTGATCAGTTATCATAGCTGCAGTCTGCAGGTGAGAAAGGGAAGGATATGAGCCGGGAAGTTGGGATTGGTGGCTGCAGGAGTGCAGTGGGTTTTTCCAACAGCTGGAGAAGACATTTGAAATGAGTTTCTATGCCACAAAAGCAAGCAAGCAAACATGGCCACTCCTGTAAACTGATGTGGCATGTATTTCAGACATAGGCTGCTGAGTGAGCAAAGCATGGTTGAAAAGGATGTATATAGCTTATGCTGCAGTTGGCTTAGAGAAAGAAAGGAATTGTGCATATATGTTTCAGTGCTGTGGAAGGACGCAAGACCGTAACACTGATACCTTAGGGCAGGGGGCTGCAGATCAGGAGCGAGAAAGGGACTTGACACACTATACCTGTTTATGCAGCTGCATGATTTTTCTCATCACGTGCATGTGTTACCTCTTCTGAAAAGAAACAAAAAAAGTAAAACCCTTTAATACTGCCCTATATAGTTCTTTTAGTGTTTGAAGAATTGGGGAGTCATTCTAGGATCCCATATGTTGGTCTGGTTTTAGAGGTGTAGGGACTGTGGGGATGTCCCTGTCTTGTTCTTCACTTGGAGTCCTAGATCTTGGGGTTTCTTTCTTAGGGCATTGTCTGTAGAATTCATAGGATCCAGGCCTGTCTCCCCACCCACCTTGCCAGGCCAGTCTCTTCCTCTCTGAGCCTCCATTTCTACCTGCTGCGCAAGGGTGCGTGCCCCCGTCAGGCGGGAGTGTGAGGTGACACGGTAGCTGGTGACACTCCCACAGCAGGGTGCATGGTAGTGGCCCAGCAAACATTTGTTCCCTTCCTTCTTTACTTAGAAGTCATCTTTTTGCATTTTAAGATAGATAGATAGATAGATAGATAGATAGATAGATAGATAGATAGATAGATAGATAATGACTGGTTTCAGTGTTTATCACAGTTGCTCAGCCAGTCCAGGAGCAAACCATCAAGAATGTAGGAGAATCAGCAAGTGGGACCAGGAACTTTTTTTTCTTTGCAGGAAACTAGGGGTCACCCCATTTGTCAGTCAGTCACCTTCCCCAAATCACCAACTCCTCCAAGGACTCCCTGATGAAAGTCCTAATAATGATCGAATGCTTGAGCCTTTATTACCCTCCAGGTACTATTACAAGCCCAGTTTCTCTGTTGTGGAAATTCTCAGAGAAGCTCCATAAGGCCTGTTGCCATTTTACAGATGAGGAAACTGAGGCAGGGAGAGGTAAGTAACTTAGCCAGAGACCCGTAGCAGGTGAGCAGTGGGCATATTTTGCAAACCCTTGCCCACTGCATGCCTCTGTGATAAGCCCATGTGAGGCGTGCTCAATGCTCACTCTCTGCTCTTGGGTATTCCCTGCCTATTATTCCCTCCTGTATGCCAAGCCCCAGGCCAGGCACTGGAGCTGTGGAGTTTCTGCCTTCAGGGATATCAGTTTAGTGAAACAGCCACAAAGAGCCGGTAAAATGTGGCAAGTGTGAGAATAGAGGCTGGGAACAGAGGAAAGAGTGGCCAGCTCCACATCTGGGGATGAAGAGCCTCCTACCAGGAGAGACTTTTGAGCTGGACCTCGGCCTGGGAGCATAGAGAGGAGTTCACTTCACAGAGAGGATGACGAGGAGGAGGGGGAGGAGAGGGAGGAGGAGAGAAGATGGGAAGGACGTTCCTGACAGGAACCACAGGAACAAAGGAACAGAAATAAGACACATATTTACAGAACACGTGGCTCAGTGTGGTTGAGTGGTCAGATGTTGGCGGAGTATCAGGAGCTGGGGCTGGAGTTCAAGGCCAGATCCGGGCCACTTGTTATGTATTGTCCCTGGGAGTGGCCCCAGGGGTCACAGATTTCCACCCTGGCAGGGGCCGTTGACCAGATAAATATGAGTGACATGGGCCAACTCTGGAACTCTCTTCCACTCTCTACATTTCAGACTTTTATAGAAGAATTCCTTCCATAAAGAAGTGTCCCTTCTCTTGAAACACAAGTGTTCAGTCTCCTCACTTTCTGACCTCTGATGCGGACATGGGCACGCCGTTGATGGTACCACTGGGGGTGGTGATAAATGGCGACAGACCGTTGGCCTTGGCCTTGGAATCAGGGACTCAAGAGGGGGTGGTAGGGCCTGTGGCAAACTGGTGAGCCTCAGACCCCATTGGGAACCAGGGCCTCAGTGTTCTGGACTTTGATGTGCAATCAGATTGTTCAGTGTCAACTCCAGATTTTGAAATACACATCACTGGAGCTGAACAGAACACATTTGTGGGCCACCAGTTTGCAGCCTCTGTGTTTTTTAATGCTTATTTATTTATTTTTGAGAGAGAGCATGAGAAAGGGGCTGAGAGATGGGGGGGCAGAGGACCTGAAGCAGGTACTACGCTGACAGCAGCGAGCCCAGTGCAGGGCTCGAACCCACAAACCGTGAGATCATGACCTGAGCTGAAGTCAGACGCTCAACCCACTGAGCCACCCGGGCGCCCCATGCAACCTCTATTTTTGACTGACCTCTGCATTAATATGCTCTTGTGGAATGAAGTCAGTCTGGCCCCCTGGAGGACCTGCCTACATAGGGGGTCAGTCTCTGGGAAGGTCACATCAGTACCAAAGGAAGTCCTCCGGGAGCAGGGCTGCTTAGACTAAGAAGGGGCTTTGGACAGTTGGTGGGGCCTCTTTCCCCCTCCCTCTAAGCAGCTTTCCTTGGAGGCCAGGGGTGGAGAGGGGAGGGATAGGAATGGGAGGGGAGAGGGGAGGGAGGAGGAGCCAGCCCACCCACCCCCCAGCCTGTGCCCTCCACCCCTAATTGTGTGTCTCTGTATTGTTCCTTCCAGTCTCTATCTGCTGCTGCCTCTTCATCCTCTTCCTCTTCCTCTCGGAGCTCACCGGATTCATAACGACAGAAGTGTAAGTTCCATTCCCCCACAGGGGATATTCCAGAGCTTTCTGGGACCCCAGAAGAGAGGAGACAGGGGCTTTAAAAAGAAGCAAGACCTCTGAACCTTCTAACTCTCTCATTTCCAAGCCCATGGCGGCCATCGCTCCTCTGTTTCTTAAAAGGGTTTTGAAGTTAGAGCAAAAGCAAACATTGCTTTGTTGAAGCTGAAGAGAAAATCTGGGTTCCGTTCTGTGGGGGGGCTTCCTGGGTCCGCAGATGACAGGAATCATTTGCCCATCTCTGCTGTCCCTTTGTTTGGCCAGTGGACTTTTTTCCCTCTGAATCATCATAGGGTCATTTGATGTTAAAGCTGGAGGAGTTCAGAGAAACGGTGCTGCTTCCTACCCGAGGGGGGTGGGGTTGCTGACATCAGAGCCCAGCCCCCCCTCAACTGAGCCCCCTTCCCTGTTCTCAGGCCCACACTTAGTGAGGAATCCGTGTGGGCTTCCTGGCAGTGATTGACGCATTGTGAATCGATCCCCAATTTCTAGCATCATCCGTTGCCCGGATAACCTAGTAAATGCTGTGGGGTATGTGTAACACAGAATGCCATTGGAATTATTCAGTCACAGCCCAGCGGCCGCCCTGAGGTGGAATCAGACCCCAGAGCTTCCTGCCTTGGCCACTGGCTCAGGGCTTCCAAGGCTCTTCGTTCCTGTGTTTACAACCCAGAAAGTCATCACGGGGCTGGGCCCTGGCCACCCACTCCCCTGTTCAACACTGGAATTTTCTTTTTTGCTCATGGAATTTCTTGGTTTCCTTTGCCTCCCTCTCGGCCACAAGACAATAGGAAACTAAAAACATAATTGCTTAGCCCAAGACAGGCCTTGTAGCTATGTAAGTGTTACCACCTTTGATCCTCAGATAGCTCTGAGAGGTGAAGGGATTTGCCCAGGGTCGTATAGTTAGGAGGGGGCTCCCAAGGCCCACCAGTCTCCTGAATCCACAGGCATCTCAGTCTTGTCTGTTTCCTACCATCACCCTCTGGCCAACTAATTTCTGGTTGTAGCCTACACTGGTATGGGGGAGTTTGCCTTCCCTGTCCCTCTGATCTTGTTTTTAACCCTGATGGCACCAGAGCCCAGAGGGTCTCACAGAGTGGTAGAGCTCTGGACGAGGCATTGGGAGACCCAGGGCCAGGTCCCCCTGCTCAGTTGCCACCTTGCTGTGTGACCCTGGACAGGTTTCCAAACTCTCTGGCTCTCAGTATTGCTGGCCAAACGAGAGGGTGCATTAGAGTCAAAGCTTGTAGGTCTGGGGAGGCTTGTCTGCTTCCTAAGACATGACCTCCTGACCACGCAGGGGTCAGAGAATGTTCTTTGCCCCACTCAGCTCCTAATGGGGGGTGGCTCTGTGTAAATTTGGGCCACTGGATGTCTCAGGGGTCACCTGAGTTGGAATTAGAAACAGGGACAGCAGCAAGAGATTGAGAGCTACTGTGTGCCACGTACCTGCTGGTCTCTCCAGGCTGCGCCCCCTTCCCTGGGGGTGGGGGGGGCTGCTGTTCAGGTCCCTCGTGTTCTGAGCAAGGTGAGTGGGGTACATGTGTGACAGCAAGGAGGGAGCCCCAGCTGTGTCCCAGGGACTAGGGAGACTTTATATATTCTGGACAGAGCCAGTGAGAAGTGCAAAGGCCCTGAGGCAGGAATTACCTGGTGTATGTACAGAGCAGATAAAGAGCTAGTGTGGCTGGAGCAAAGTGAGCAACTGGAGAGAGTAGAATATGAAGTAGGTAGGACCAAGCTGGGGTAGGTCCTGTACACTGTTGTGTATTCATGGGCCTCATTCTTGGTCCTGAGCTCCCAGAAGTCAGAAACCAGGTCTGCCTCCTTCCTTGCTGAGTGGTTCCCTGCTCAGAGGAGTTGAAAAAGCCAACAGTGAGCACAGACCATCAACAAGCAAGCAAAGCTAGAACGTACATGAATTAGTGAAAAAGACTCTGAAGAAAAAAAAGCAGAGCAGGAAACAGAGAAGGTGTGTGATATTTGTGAGGTTTAAACAAAGTTGTTTACCAGAAAGGTACTTAATGCCACACCTGATGTACTTTAATATGGATCTGTAGTTCTTCATGCTACATTTATTCACTTCACATTTATTCCCCATCTAATGCTAAAAAGGTTGTGAGGCCACCCTCAGCACCTGGCATGTAATAAGCACTCCACGAATGTTAATTTTCTTGTCCCCTCCCTTGAGCTCAGAGCAGCCTCCCTCACCTCCTGCTGACATTGTGAAGGGCAGCTTATTAAGCCGTTGTCAGCTCAGCCCATGGTGAGGCAATGGGCCCCCGACAGGTGAGTTGTGACTGGAGCAGGTCGTGTGCCACCTGCTGTGTGAAGAGCCACTCAGGTGAGCTTGGACAGCTTGTTCCATTACCCAGGACAGGGCTCCCTCCTTTCCAAAGAGCACAGTATGTTCCCGCTGCTCTGCCTTCTACCCTGTTCCAGGGTTTACCCTTCCTGACCCCTGGGGGCATCCTGGACACTCTGGTCCCAGCACCTCCCTGGAGAGGAAGAAAGATGAGGGGTGAGTGGGGTAATCAGACTACGAGGGCCATTCATGGTGTGTTTGCCATTTGTCTGGCCCGTGCTGAGCTCTTCCCCATTTGCTGTGTGAGTGGCCGGAAGGAGGGAGGGAGGTGGGAATGAGAAGAGAAACCCGTCGGTAGCCCAGGGGCCAGAAGCTCCATCTGTGATGATGCAGTGGCCCTGACGCCCCTCTCCCCCTGCTGCCGTGTGACCACGGTGCAGGAGTTGCCCGAAAGGAGTCTGTATGGGTGAGGACTGAGGACGTCAGTGAAGAATCCAGAGGTAAAAGCATTGTTCCTGGTCTTCCTTCTATCAGAAGTTTCTCTGACCCCTGGGAAGGCCTGCCAGTTTGGGAACACATGAAGGTCCCAGGTCTTCTGTAATGGATGTCGGGCCCTCCCTGGCAGGTTTGTGACCACAGTGGGTCAACCCCCCACACCCCCCATCATGAGATTGTATCCCAAGGAAATGAGGTCACTGCTGGTGGGATCCACATTGCGCCAACCCTGACCCGTGGTTATCAGTGAGTGACCTAAGACACTATTCTGGCCCAGCCCGGTAGGGAAGGAGGCCTGTTTGTTTGGGTGGTTGGACTCTAACCTGGGCTTTAGACAGGCCATTAATTATCCTTGGGAAAGTGGCCCCATAGGGGGTGCTGTGTGGCTTCACATTTCCAGGGGAGCAGCCCCCCCCCCTTGCTCAGAGAACGTGGCTGCAACACATTCCAGTCTATGACTTCCCAGGCTTGGCTGCTTTTACTTATTAACCTGATGAGGATCTGTAAGAAGAAAATGTAGTAGCTGGAACTCTCCACTGATAATTTACAGTACAATACAATGTATTCTACTTTCCAGTTACGATTTATACTAGGCAACCACATGCCCAGCCAGCCAGCCAGCCACCTAGGTTCGCACTTTACGGTGATCGTCTCGTGTCGTCAACACAGAACCCCTTGAGGTGGGTTCTGCGGGTAGTCTTAGCCCCACTTTACGGCTGGGAAAACTGAGGCACCAGGAGGCGAAAGCCACAATGAGGTTAGTAAGTGGTGGGGCCACTCCAGTCAAAGCCTCTGCACTCCTGCCCTGTCATACCACGCTTTTCTGCCCAGAGCATTCTGGACCCCCAGGTGCATGGGAGCTGCTGCTCTTTGGTCAGAAGAGTTGACCTGAACATTTGGATACACCCTTCCAGGGTGAAGTGGCCAAGCAGGCAGTTGGAACTCCAGGAAGCCATTGCCCGCCTAGCGGGAACTGGGTGGTTACCTTGAACTGTGTCCTCAGATGCTCCATAGCAGGCCCCCAGTGGGGAGGCCGGTAGCTCAACCAGGAAGGATGCCTGGAGGTCTCCCTCAGAGCCCGGTCACCCACTCTGAGGCCTGGGTTGTGAGCTAGGGCCCGGTGAGAGACCCAGGGTCGTCTCATGAAGGACAGGCCGGAAGGCGTCCGAGCGTGGAACGACTAGACCGGCTTCACGCTGCAGCGAGGTCCGCTCTTGTGAAGATGAACTTGGGGCAGGGTGACCCTGGAGGCCAGACTGGACAATAGCTGTAGAGAGGAGGGTGTGGGCAGGACTTGGTGGCCGAGAAGGGGTGGTTTTGGCCCTCCACCTGGTAGGGAATAGATGCACTTACTTATACCTGGAGGGTAGGGATTTAAAACAAGGTCCTGGGGACATTGCTTGCATAACTTCCATCCCTCCCCTTCCACCGCAAGCCCTTGCTGTGGGCCTCACTGCTGTGTAAGTTTCCATTAAATCAAATTATTAAGCACAGAGGTCAGCGACTTTGGGTAGGAATCTGAACTATTCAAGTGCTCTTCTAAAAGCAAATAAAATTGTTTTCCATAGATGTCATCAGACTCACGCCTCAGCCTAGAATTTCAGGGCCCTTCGTTACATTCCACCTACGCTCCCCCCCCACCCGTACCTCCCCAGTCCCTCTCTTCCTCTCCCTACATGGCCACTGCTTACTGACCCCCACGCAATCCAGCCAACTCCCTGACGCTGTCTGGTGTCCCCCGACTGGAATGTGCCCCCCTCTCCTCCATCAGCACACATTGGTACCTCCCCCCGTTCATTCTGCAGGGGTGGTGATCTCGTGCTCTGTGCTCCTGGCTCAAGAGAGCCCTCGTCCCGGTCAGTCGGGAGGTCAGATGCAGCAACCCACCAGGGCGTGGCAGGGGGAGGTGTTAGAGGGAGGCTTGTAGGGCACAAAGGGGATGGACCCTTTACACCTGCTTGCCCTGTGGGCACTTGGGCCATGGGTGCAGTTGGGATGGGCACCTGCAGATTATCGGAAAGATGATGACACCTGCATCACAGGTCTCCTTGGGGGACACTTGTCCCTCAGGTTTTCATTGATTCCTTGCCCCATCCATCTTAACGCGGTGGAAAGAGCATGGCTCTGGGCTTCCATGGCTCCAGGTTCAGATCCTGCCTCTGCCTCT